GGGGGGCTGGTATTGGGGGACCAGTGATCCAACACTCCCGAATCTGTCATATTTTGAAGATTCTTTAGGCAAAGGTTTCTCTACATTACAGTAAAGACTAGCTAAGCAGGCAGCGGGACAGGTGAGTATTAACTGTCTTTTTTGCAGGGATGACTTTATTTTACATATTTATGTTAGTGTCAGTCATATTCAATTGAATTGGCCAGTGTAAGCCTATCCCTTTCTTGCAGAGGTGTCCTACATACACTGGGGCAACTGTAGGAAGGTAGGAATGCCAGTTCAGACATGTATCCCTATAGATCAGTCCGCGGACGATCAAGGTATTAGCCCCGAGACCCTGACCATCAACAAGTGTATTTCAGCTTGCAGAATCCAGCTCTGAGCTTGGTAGCCACTGACTCACCCAATGCCAAATCCACACAAAGGGTCCCCAAGCCATCCAGTAAGGCTATCTGGAGTTTAAAGCCCAGCGTATGGCTGTATACAGGCCCAGCGTGACAGCTGACAAGTGCCTGGGAACGCAGGGACGTCAAAAAGGCAGGAAGGGCATCTTTGCACACACGTTGTCGCAGGAAGTCTTTACATGAGGAAGCAAAAGATATCAACACCTGGGAAAAGAGAGGGTTGTTTAATAACATGGCGGACATCTGAAAAAGATCCCAGTACTCCTGAGAATGTCTGCATTTTTCTTTCTTCCAAGGCCATTGCCATCTTCATTCAGGCATCATCCAGAATCAGCTATCTCCTGGATTAAAATCCTTCCCTTGGACTTCCCATGCAAGTCCTTGTATATGTGTAGTAGCCTTTAGCTCCAGGTCTGTATATATACAGGTTGTGTTACGCAGATCAGGGAACAAAGTTCAAATCCTTGTCGTCGCTGGGAGAGGAGAGATTTAGGAAATGCTCCCTCCTGCCTGCAGCAGAATGATATCATTAATTCCCACATGCCTAGACAGAAATCACTTGCCTGAAAGCTCACGCTATGCTTTGTAAAAGATAAAAAGGTGTAGTGCTTCACCTATATTTAAAGGAGAACTATGGGGTTACTGCTTGCTGTATACTGAGATGCCGCAGCTGAAGCGGATCCCGACAATTATGCCTGGATCCGCCCAGCTGCGTGAGTGACAGCTGGCTCTGCCTATCTAGAGGCAGAGGCAGCTGTACCCGCCCCCTTCCATGTCCGTTCCGCCAGTCAGCGCTGGCGGATCGGAGCGGGGAAGCCAGCCCCTCCGGATCGGAGCGGGGAAGCCAGCGGACACAGTGTGTCCGCTCACCTCCCGATCTACTGAGCCGAATGCGACAGTCTCATTGTCACAGATCGGCTCGAACTGTTCTCAGCCCTCCACCCTAACCCCAGCACATACGTGGACAGCACTCCATTCACTTTCATGGAAAAACCTGTATTCAGTTCAGCAAGCTGCTGACAGGCTTCATAGTTGAAATGGAATAATTCTGGGCCATGTATGTACTGGAAGCGGGGAGCAGAGAAAATAATTCTTGTAGGACACCTAGCAGAAAGCCCAAAAAAGACCCCCAGGTAAAATTATGAAAACATTGGTGGACAGGAGGGGCCCCAAGGAAGGATTAGTGCATTAAAAGCAACCCTTTCCTCATGTTTGCAGAAAGAGCCCCCTCGAGTCAGTCCCCAGAGACCCAGTCAGTCCCCCAACTAGGCACGCCATATTAAATTTCACACAGTACAGTCAGTGTCACTTGAATCTAAAACATACTTCCAAAAAAGAAGCTTGCATATACTTACCTTTCGGGTGACTGGTTTTTTTTTTTTTTTTTTTAAACAAGCTGCTTCCCTGCTCACCATTCACTACAAGATTTTGTACATTCCTAGATGTAAAACCCCCCAAAAAAACTCCCATACGTCATTGCAGGACCTAAGAGCCTAAGAGCCATTGGGAGGAACCTCAGCATGTGACGGGGGAAACAGGTGTTCGACCCCTCTGATCAACAAATACTTGCAGAGGACAGTGAACAGCGTAGGAAAAAGACAAAAACACAAATCACCAAAAACAAAGTCCCAGCATGTCAAAAACCTAACAAATCACATTAATAATTACCCCCCCAAAAATGCAGTAAAAATGCATACTAAAAACAGAACTGTTTTGAAGCACCAAGGTATAAATGGGCACTGATGGGATCTTAGAGTTACCTGAAAGGCTCGCAAAAGGACCAGTGGTTCATCGTGTAACAGTCTTTTTACTAGACATGGCCAGGTTTTATGTGCAAGAGGCAGAAGCACATCTTCCTGAGAACGTATGGGTAGTAACGATAGCCGCAACGTGTCCAGGGCCTGTAGAAGGCAATCATGTAATGAGCAACAGAAGAGTAGACATCCTTTGCCACCAGTAAGGATTGCTTCTACTCTTTCCCCCCCCCCCCCTCCCCCCCGGTGCCCTTACATTCCCCCTTTATTGCCCAATCCTATGGTGCTGTGCTCGCACTCCCCAATCCCATCCAACTCTATATTCCCCCACAGGCCACATTCTATGCTCAGTGATATGTGATAAGGTGAATCTGAAGAACCCTTCCTGTATGAGAGCCTAGGGATATGAGAGGACTCACCTAAGCTTCTATCTATCACCAGCTCCCACCCTGCTGCCTCCACTCCTTTCTGGCCAAAGTTCCTTGCAGAGTACAGAATAGTCAATTTCTCCTGCCTCCACCACCTTCCCCTCTCTCCTATGCTACCTATCCTGTCGCAGCTTAGTGACTACTACTGGGATCCAACGGTAAGAGAACCGACTGAGGAAACAGCTTTCTGTGGTGGGACAGTCACTGGAAGCCAATAGAAGCCCCCACTCTCTCTATTTCCACCCTTCCGAGTGACAGACATAGCTCCCCATTAAGCCCCCCTTCCCAGCTCACAGATATTCCTCCTTGCCCCCTACACCAAGCTGACAGTTACCTATCCCAAGATCCCCTCTCTTCCACTCAGACACCCCTCCCTATGCCTTCCCCCTTTGTGACCGATCCATTCCTCCTTGCCTCCCCCCAAGGCTGACAGTCACCCCATCACAAACCTATCATACCTGTAATCGGATCTGTGGATCATTGTGTGACAAGAAGTGGGTACATTTTTCTGCCACCTCTTTGGAAATCTTAACATGGATGGGCAATGGTGGCGTCTCCTCATCTTTGGCTTCATCTGGTGGAGGTGACACATCTAAAACAGCAGAAAGCAAGAAAAAAAAAAATCAAATCAGGAATCCTATCACTAAAGAACTGGTGGCAGAGGATATTTATTTTTTGCCATGGAAAGGTTGTCAGGTCGTAGCAGGCTGCTTACTTGAAATATCAGCGTTTCAAAAAAAGCAAAGCTGGTCATCTTTCTATTTACTCTATCATTTATCACACAGCTGGTCTGCTGTGACCTGACATCTTGGTGCCTGCATGAGTATGCAGAAGCATAGCCAGCACTGTACCATAAAGTCCAACTTAAACAAAACTCTTCTTCCTGTAAAAAAATACATATTGCTACAAAGACAGCTTGGCAATTTAAAGCAATTACATTTCTATTTCAATATGCAGCTAACTATGAATTTTCCCAAAATGTGAGGTTTCAATGTAACTATGCTAACAGTACTACATGTACAGAACCTGCTCACATCTCATTCCCCGAGCAAGTAATTGGCTCACTGCTCTGCCTCAAATCAGTACAGGGCTTGATGTATATACACACAACAGATATGGTATTTTTATTATTATTAATTAAGGCATCCCTAGAACCAACTTTAAGTTTACCGCAGAGGGCCAGTTCACGCCACATCCAATGCATTCCAGCACGGTTAATGGACGGAACACACTGGAGCGCATAACAAAAGCCTCCGGCGTTCTAGTGCAGGGTGGTGCTATTTAAGTCAATGGCACCGCAGCCACGCTTTCCACCTGCAGTGCGATTGCCCGCAACAGAACGTGTAGTACATCAGTACAGGCGATTGCACTGTGGGCGGGAGGCATGTGTGCGGTGCCATTGACATCAATGACACTGCCACACCCCCTGCCGCCCCAGAATGCAGGGAGGCTTGCTCTATGCAATCCAGTGCATTGCGCCCGCTAACCATACTGAAACGCACTAGATATAGTGTGAAGAAGCCCAGAGACTGTCATTTTTTGACGATATACTAGGAATGTGCCTACAGGAGTGCGGAGATGCAATGTTTCTCTAATAACAATAGTGGGACACGTAGTGATGTGACTACAGCAGACAGACTGTCCCGATCTCAATTTCAGGAAGCTATAATAATAGACTGCCTCTGTATCTACAGACCTGAAGCATGGAATGAGTCTGCAAGGAAGTTTACTAAAATTACTGCAAAGAATATTGAAAGTTTTGCTTTAAAGAGTAATTCTACTTTGTTAAAAAGGAAAAAAAAAACCCAATGAAAAAAAAAAAAATTATCAATCCCTTCTGGATGATTAGTGTACATTGCAAGGATTATAACCAACTTTCTTGCAGATTCCTACCCGTTTCTGTTCTGTTTAGAAAATATATCCCTGATGTTCTCAACAATTTTTAGTAGGGATGCACCGATACCGTTTTTTCAGTATCGAGTACCGATATTTTTTTTCGGTTCTCACCAAAACCTATACCGGAAGTCCCATTAAGGAAGCCAGGCGGCGTTTAATGACTCACCACCTGACTTCCCGATTAGCCGAGCGGCGTGTAAAAGACTCACCACCCTGCTTCCCAATTAGCAGGGAAGCCGCCCCCATTCTTCTCGTCATAAGGTGACGAGAAAGTATGGAGCCGGCTTTCTGGCCAATCAGAAAGCCGGGTGCCGTGTTGCCCGGCTTCCTGATTGGACGAGAAGCTGTCCAATCAGAAAGATGGGCAACACGTCATTACACGGCACCCAGCCTCCCGATTGGCCGGGAAGCCGGCTCAGTGCTCCCCTCATCACCAGGTGACGAGGGAGTATGAAGCCAGCTTTGTGGCCAATTAGAAAGCTGGGGGAGGGGGGGGCGTGTAATGACTCGCCGTACAGCTTCCTGACTGGCCAGCTTCTCGATCAATCAGGAAGCTAGGTGGCCAGTGTTTACACGCTGCCCGATTGGCCGGGGAGCCGGCTTCCTGGCCAATCAGGAAGCCGCGCAGCGTGTAATGACCCGTTGCCCAGCTTACTGATACTGGAAGCTCAAGTATCAGGCTAGGCATCAGAGCATTTGGGCGAGTACGAGTACTTGGCCAAATACTCAGCACTGGCACCGATACTAATATCGGTGCATCCCTAATTTTTAGCGTTTCATAAAAAACATTTGCTGGAGCAAAGTCAGACTGAAGAAGGGGGGGCTTGGTTCCAACCATGTAAGACAGCTCTTAGAGCAGTTTACAATATCTCAGTAGAGCCGAATATATGTGTCTGACAGAAATAAGGAGGCTTCCTTTGTTGACTTGTTTCTGAAGATGCAGTCTCAAGGGCTGCCATCCTCATCTTTGCTTTATTACTTAGTACTCATAGGCTTGGGGGAAAAAAACCCAAACACAAGCAGGTGTCCCCTATTAGGAACACGCTTGTTATAGGTTAGAAATGGCAGCTCCTGTATTCTGTCGTATGGAAGCCTTTTGGAGATTTCCTGTTGAAGTAGGCAATTCCTTATAAGAACAACAACATATTTCAGCATCAAGAGAGGTCTAAAGCCAACTCCATACCATGCTAGAAGCAGTTTCTATTACTTCAGTTACCTGCAACGTCCTCTTTTTCCATATCTCCTCTTGCTAGCCGATATTGCTTTATATGATCTTGAAGAAACTCCTTAATATCATGCGACAAGCTCCCACAATGCACTTGGGACTCATTGGACGTATAGGTCAATGGGGGATCTTCAGTGCTCTCCGGTGGAGAGAACCACTTCCCTGCAGGTAAAAGGATGAAAGAATTCTAAATGCAACAGGTCTGAAGGTGCCCTCAATAACCTGATTCTCAATATTATTCTGCAATAGCACAGGGGACATGAGCCACTAGCACTTACAAGTATCTGAAGGAAGAGCAATTTGTGTTTGCAGAGCAACCAGATTCTCCCTTTCATGTCTACAGTGCAATACAGGAGAAAGAGCAGATGATTCTTGTTGGTTGATGAGGACAACATTAACTCTTCATTTAGATAAGTCGATGAGGACAACACTATTTTTTCTCTGAGACTAGTTAGTATTTAGGGACAAATCTGCCTAAATAACATTTTAGAAGGTTAGTATATTTAACCTTACAATGTATAAATAAAAAAATCTGGATTGGATTTTTGTACTTGCCATAAAAACCATGTCTTAGAGGTTATTGAGGGACACAGGAATTCAGAGACTCTTGAGGCATACTGCCGCCTACAGGACTGGACACTGGGAAACAAAAAACAAAATTGTGGGCCAGGCTAGCATAACCCTTCCCACTTCCATTTTCTTTCTCATCCATTGCGGAACACAGGAGTTCAAAAATTGTTAGGATGTCCAAAAGTAGTTCAGCTGAGTGGGCAACAGCTCCAATGGACGTGTCTGGGTTTGGCGGTTGCCAGGAGAACGGTTATTGCCTAACTGCATCGGCCAAGTGTAACGCTTGGTGGAAGGGGGATTATGGTGTGGGGTTGTTTTTCAGGGGTTGGGCTTGGCCCCTTAGTTCCAGTGAAGGGAACTCTTAAGGCATCAGCATACCAAGACATTTTGGACAATTTCATGCTCCCAACTTTGTGGGAACAGTTTGGGGATGGCCCCTTCCTGTTCTAACATGACTGCTCACCAGTGCACAAAGCACCATAAAGACATGGATGAGCGAGTTTGGGGTGGAGGAACTTGACTGGCCTGCACAGAGTCCTGACCTCAACTCGATAGAACACCTTTGGAATTATTTAGAGCGGAGACTGCGAGCCCGGCCTTCTCCTCCAACATCAGCACCTGACCTCACAAATATGCTTCTGGAAGAATTGTCAAACATTCCCATAGACACACTCCTAAACCTTGTGGAAGCCTTCCCAGAAGAGTTGAAGCTGTTATAGCGGCAAAGGGTGGGCCAACTCAATACTGAACCCCACGGACTAAGAACATGTGCGTGTAAAGGCAGGCATCCCAATACTTTTGACAATATAGTGTATGTGAGCCAAGAATACCTGTTTTGAAGTCAAAGTTTGCTAGAAATTTGTTAGGGTGTATGGCAATGAGCGGTGTTAATTTGTAATTCTGAATGGGCACATATTCCCACAGACACAATTGTGGAATGCATTCCCACAAGAAAGAGGGAGGGGATGCAATTGTATATTTACACCTGGTTTTGAAATGGGATGTCCAACAGAATAATATAGGTGCGATGGTCAGGAGTGCACAAACGTTTGGCCATAAAGTGTAGCAAATTAGCATGTTAAAATGGTTTAACCATACTGTAAAGTAAGATGGCAGCACTGCATTACCTAATCTCATGACAAGACAATTCAGCACAGGGAAAAGCATTTTAGCGCCTTCATTCTGTGAATGGTCCAATGCTGGAAGCAGGTCCTGGACAAGAGCATGGAGTAACGGAAGAAGACTGGGGCTACAGTTATCTAACATAGCGTGTAATACTCGTGCAGCACCCCCATGATGTCTTTGAAGGCGACGTAGGCCAACAGAAACCTCACTTGCCAAGTAATCTGCATTGAGCTCAACAAGCTGCTTGATATCTTTGTAGCCACAGGTTTGGCTAACATTTGCCAAAGTCACTAATGCCGTTCCGCTAACCAATAAAGAAGGATCACCAGCTTTCTCCAATAGGGGGTACAAAGTAGATATAAGGAGTTGACGAAAATTAGTGCCTAGAGCCTGGGCAATGCAAGAAATTCCCTCCAGTTGGAGGCACAACTTCCAGGCATTGGCACTCAAGTCACTTATTGCTGAATTAGGCTTCTGACCAACTCGGAGTAAAGCCATCTGATCTACCACTTCATCATGGGTATTGTGGGAAGTGCATATATGCCAGTTGACTGGATCTGTGTACTCTTCCAAAAGTGGGCGCACTGCATCCAAAAGTTCAGCAGCTTCTAGGATCTTGTTGCCACCGTGGAGTGCTTCAACTTCAATGCCGGCTGCCCCTAACACGAGCTGGTTCAGTACAACCAGAGCAGGGAGTCTCTGTGCACGGTATAATCCCAGAAAGTGGTCTGTAAGCAAGTAAAAGTCTCCGTAGTACCCTAAAAGCCTGCAAACATGTTGAAGAGAGGAGAGAATACGTGGGTCTCTAAAGAAGCGGAAGTTTTTCTGCTGAAGTCCAGTGTGTTCTATGTTCTCTTGTGTAAGATTGGCAACAGAAGAGGAAAGTCTTTCTTCCACCACCTTGACGGAGCACAAATCCAGCTCTAATGTCTGCAGGAGAGCAAAAGACAACCGCTGAAGATGGGCAGAAGAGTGAAGAGTGAATGTAAGCCTGGGGCCAAGCAGCTGAAGATATCCAAGAAGTAGTGCTAGAGTGTGGAGCTTGCCTTGGTCATCCTGAGAGCTCAGGAGCCTTGGAAGTGTCACAGCCAATGAATGAAGGCTTTCTGACAACACTTCCCCTAGTGTCCTTGAAGCTGGCCCATCCTTTCCTAATTCCAGCAGAGCTTCATTTGCCTTCTCTTTGACTTCAGGCCTCTCGTCATTCATGTGCCCAACTAATATCCGTAAAAGGCTCCCTGCAGCATCCCCTAATGAATTCCAGCATGATCGAATCAAGAGATGAGCTAGATCCACCAATGCCATCCTTACTTTCCAATGCGGATCAACAGTGCAACATTCTCTGATCTTTTCCAAATGAATCAACAAGCGACTAGCAGAGTTTTTCACCCAAGTTTTTTCCCTGTGAACTAAAAGTTCTGCTACACGGACTGACAGCCCCGGGTAATGGGGTTTCTTCTCGGGCACCCGTGCCAGACTTTCGTCAGACATCACCAAGCTTACAGTACCAGCCCACAGCTTAACTGCAGCAGTTGATAGCCTGTACCCTTGCTTTGGATCTCCACAGATGATCCTGGTCAAGACCGTACAGACTCCAGGAAGAAAAGAAGCAAAGAGGTCACCCAAAGAAAAGTCCTGCTTGACCTCCGGAAACAGCAATCTCTCCAAACATTTCAAAGCTTCCAGCCGAACTTCCCGTGATTTCTCCAACTCTGCAAGTCTAAGTAGAAGACTGATGGCAAAGCCCATCTCAGGAAGCACTGATGGTTTATAAAGCACAGGTAGGATGTTCGCCCCTGAGGATCGAAGAAGAGACTGCATAGCTAAAACTACTGCCAGCTTCAGCTCCTCAGGCATTGGCTGACGAAGATCTGTTGGAAGGCAGCTGCAGACTTCATCGAACATCTCCTTTAAGGATACAGAACTTTTCACATGAGTCAGAGACAGAACATATGAAATACATTCCAGAACAGCTTGCACCAAACCAGGCTTTTTAGGCCCTGGTGTCTTAAGGGAGAATCTCAAAGGGAACAGCACGTAATCCAAAAGGTCTTGAAGGGCAAACACATCGGTGGATGATATCTGTTTGCGTAGGTTTTGAACATTCTGCACCGTCTGCTCCATCGTCAACTGAACACAAGATGGACGGAGGCTTTCAAAGGCACCATGCGCACTAGTCTTCAATGCTGTGGACTCCATTTCGAATCTGGTGGCCTCTGGACATGCTAAATTAAGATGAATGTTACCTAAATAGATAGAAATACAGATTCGTATTATATGAATGTAACAACGTTAACGTGACCAAACTACAATGTAAAGACGTTGTTAATGAGTAGTATTTACAATTATACAACTTACTTACCTGTGTGGCATTGGGTGGCAATACCACGGTGTTGGGTGGCCTCAAAGTCACCTAGGGTTCTCAGGCAGAGGGACTGAGTGGCTCCAGGAAGAAATGACTTGTACCAGGAAAGAACTGCCTTTTCAATCCTTTCCGGGTTTTCTGGATCACAGTTGGGATCCTGGAGATTTTTTAGAGCTCTGGGTGGGAGGAAATCTCCTGTGATCCAGAAAACCCGGAAAGCACTGAAAAGGCAGTTCTTTCCAGGTACAAGTCATTTCTTCCTGGAGCCACTCAGCCTCTCTGGCTGAGAACCCTGGGTGACTTTGAGGCCACCCAACACCGTGGTATTGCCACACCTGATTATGTATCTTCTCGCGGTCTCGGTTGCCTGAATGTGTAGTATGCTGAAGCTAAACAGATCCAAGCAGATATAAAAAAAATACAATTTTATTATAGATTTATAGAAATAATTATAGCCCCCCTGTAGGCAATTATATATATATACACACACACACACACATACATGCATGCATACAATGAGTGGCCAGATTAACATGACCACCTGACGTTTGTAGGCAAATTAGCTATAATTTCGCGCTGAAGTTGCTAGAGGGCCAGACCATTATAAATAGGGAAGCAGGTTGTTTACCACGATAGTAGAAGTGATTTTTTTCTGAAGATATGGGTAAACAACGCGATTTAACAGTACTTCGTTGGGCCGCCTCGTAACTCCACGAGATGTTGAAAGGTGATGCGAGGAATCTGACACTGCACTGTTGCCTTGTACCAGTCCTGCCACTCTCCGTTCTGCCCTAACATTGACTAGTCGCTGACGGCCACAGTTCGCACGTTCAGACCCAGATTTTAGTCTGACAGTCCGGTCTTTAAACACTTTAACAACAGATGCTCTTGAACATTTAACGAGTTCTGCTGTTTTGCCGATACTCGCTCCATGGCTTGAGCGCCAACAATCATCCCACGTTCAAAGGCTGTTAAATCGAGTTGTTTACCCATATCTTCAGAAAAAAAAACTGCTTCCCTATTTATAATGGTCTGGCCCTCTAGCAACTTCAGTGCGAAATTATAGCTAATTTGCCTACAAAGAGTGTGTGTGTGTGTGTGTGTGTGTGTGTGTATTCTAGTCTATTCTATTCTAGTGTGTAATCTATTCAATTATTCTGCATCCAATCAGGCAGGCCCTGACATTACAGAGTTGTTGGTAGGTCTCAGGTGTGTGGTGAGTTTAAAAGAGAACTATGGGGTAACCTTTTTATCCTATAGCTGTTTTAAGGGTCACGTGAGGACATATACTAACCTTCTCCCGTGACCCAAAGCTCAGTATATAGCGAGCTACAGCTCACTATATACTGAGAGCGCCGCAGCCGGGACGGATCCCGACAATAATTGACAGCATGCTCTGCCTATCTAGAGGTAGAGTCAGCGGTGCCCGCCACCTTCATCATCCGTTCCTCCAATCGGCGCTGAAAGATCGACGAGGGGAGGGGGGAACCCATGCGGGGAGCCGTTACAGACAAATCTCTTCTCTCTGCAGGGAGACGATAGGGAAGTGAGCGAGCGACAGTATGTGTTCGCTCACTTCCCGATCTATAGAGCCGACGTGTGACAGTTTCCTTGTCACACGTCGGCTCCAACTATGAGGAGTGTAAATCATTCACCTGATAGTTCTCCTTTAACCCTCTGTCTAGCTTCAGGTACAGAGGAACACTAACCCAGAATTGCAGATGGTCCCCTACAGTCCTCTTGTGCTTCTATCACTCCTCATCTGGATCCTGAGAGGACCTCGCCGCCGCACAGCCAATAGGAAGTGTCCACATCATGCAGGCAGTGATGAGGACACCCAAAAGGAGGACCCAGCCAGATGTAAACAAAAGAAGAGAAGACTTGGGACTGGAGCGTCACTTGATCATGGCTTCAGATATGTAAAAAGGGCAATTAGATTTTTTTTTCAGCGATCAGTCAGCGGGGGATTAATATTATCCTGAAAATGGTCTTTAAATGTATTTTAAATTCAGTTAAAGTACCTAAAGTTGTCAAACTTGATAAATAAAGCCAGCCTGACTATACGCAGGTATACATGTGCAAACACAAGAACTGTTTAACACGAGTGGACCTATGTCCTCCAACACGCAAGTTTTACATTTGGAGACTTGCGTCCTAGGCGTGCATATACAGATGTATTTTCTGCTGTATGCCCATACGCCTGTATTTGTGTATCTGTGCGAATGAGCCCTCAGAGGGGAATCCTCTCACTTTGCAGAGATTTACTCTCACTTCCTGTCACGTCTCTGGGACCGGAAGTGAAATCTCCACAATGGGACGCAGAGAGCACTCAAAAATAACCGACAGGCTTTAACCCTTCACTTCTCTATCCAAAACGAAAAAAAAGTTTTTGGATACACTTTGGAGTCTGTGTGTCTTCACACAAGATTCACCCAGCTTTCACATATACCTTTTCTAACAGGACTTAGACAAATGTGTGAATCATATATGAAAACACATAAATTAACTCTTTTAAAGCAAGCCATAAACTGTACAATCTCCTTTAGATCCAGCATCAACTATGAAAGGCAAGGGACTGCCTGATTGGATACAAATTGAATGTGTTGTTTAGGTATGTCTTTATATTACAAGGTTTGGTAAATCTAAAGCAGATTGTACAGAGACTGTACAATCTAGATGTATTGTGTATGGTCAGCTTTAAGGTTACCATACATTAAACCAGGGTTGAGCATTTCCAGCCATCCTTTAAAAGAAAACTATGGTGTAAGTGTTTTTTCCCCATAGTTCTCTTTAGGGTCACGGGAGGACATACTGTATACTAACCTCCTCCTGTCACCCAAAGTTTATAATAAAAAGCAGGCTATTGCCCGCGATATACTGAGAGCGCCACAGCCGGGACGGATCCCGACAATACTGTCGAGATACACCCCGCTGCTTGACAGCTGGCTCTGCCTATCTAGAGGCGGAACCAGTTGTGCCTGCCCCCTTCCCGTTCATTCCTCCACTCAGCGCTCGAGGATCGGAGTGGGGAGGAATCCCTGCGGGGAGCGGTGACTGAAAATCACCGCTCACTGCAAGGAGACGATCGGCAGCATGTTTCTGCTCACTTCCCGATCGATAGAGCCGACCTGTGATAACATCTTTGTCACAGGTCGGCTCTAACTATGAGGATGAGTGGAAATCACTCACCTCATAATTCTCCTTTAAATGCAAATCCCATCATGCATCTGCTTCTGGGAGTCATGCCTGTAATTGTCAGTCTTGCAATGCCTCATGGGACTTGTAGTTCCACAGCAGCTGGAGGGCCAGAGTTGCCCACCCTTGCATTAAATTATCTGATTATACAATCGCCTTTAGATCTGCCATCAGCTATGCAATGCAAGGGCCTGCCCAATTTCCTACAATGAATGAACTGTTTAATTTTGTTCTCATCTTAAGGTGCCCATACACTGCTCGATTCTCGTACGAGAATCACGGAAATCCCGCGATCGTACGAGAATCGAACAGTGTGAACGAAGACGTGCGACTGTTTCTACTGTATGGTCGCACATCTTTTGTCTAAGGCGCATGTTAGAAAACCAGTCGAGAATCGTACGATTTTCGGCTGGTTTGAATGGTGCTCGGGAGACAAATGCCGAACGGGCCGGTGTGCGCATGCGCACACTGCCCGTTCAGCATTGCGGTCATCGGAAGCCATGATTGCGATGATCGAGAGTGCGATCTGCCTGTCCAAGATGGGCAGATCGTACGTTTTTTTAATCACTTTACAACCATCCCAAGACTAAGGTCTTGCGATGGTTGTACGGTGTATGGCCACCTTTAGTTTTGGTGACTCTAAAGGAGCTTTAGGATGTATGGCCAACTTTAGTGATGTCTGCTGTCAGGTGAACATATTGCCAACCTGAACAGATTTGCTTGAATTGATTTAAGATCAATTAAGAAACTTAAGTATCACTTCAACTCTACATTCTTCCAATGGCCAACCTGCTATGACTCTACAAGTGCCATGGCACTGTGTGTCCCAGCATGCCCTGCAACCTACTCTTTGATATGAATGCAGCTACACACATAATCCCTATATCGTTATTATACACCTCTGTACTTCATACTAACGAGCTGCTTTCACAGAGTCCCTCAGTCGCCCTGACACTTACCACACAAGGTCCCCCTACACTCACCTTAGCCCATAGTGCAGGAGATAGGGCGCTTTCACATGGCGGAAGTGACGCCATCAAGCAGCCGCCACCGCGCGCGGCCTAATGGTCAGTCGCTAAGGCAACGCGTCTCCCCGTCTTCGCCGTGGGTCACGTGACGTGTTGCAGAGTTGAGAGGTCAAGCGGCCATCTTGTGCCGGGCCCGGGGCCCTCACGGAGAGACATGGCGTCGTTTTCGGAGTCGGCCCTGGAGAAGAAGCTGTCGGAGCTGAGCAATTCGCAGCAGAGCGTGCAGACCCTGTCCCTGTGGCTGATCCATCACCGGAAACACGCGGCCGCCATCGTTACTGTGTGGCAGCGGGAGCTCCAGAGAGGTAAGACACCAACACACGGCGTGGCTGTGTGAGGAGGGCTGTGAGGGCATAATGAAAGTGCATTTTTTTGGGATAGGGAGGGGGAAGGGTTGGACCTGCTGTCAGGTTTGTATTTCTGTGTCCCCATGTGGTAGATTTTCCCCTCTGTTTGTACTGGTGACTACTCTCAATGAGAAAGTGAGGAGAAATCCAAAAATGTTAAGGTTGTCATCACAGCAAGAGGTGAGGGGAATCATCCAACGGGGAAAACTGCCTAAGAGGGGATTTTCCCTCACTTTGGGAGATTTTCTTGAACTTCCTGGTGAGTCTTTGGCACATGTGGTAAAGAGGAATTCCCCCAGTGGTAGACAGGCAGCAAATAATAACCTGCAAAAACTTTCATACAAAAAATATTCCTTGAAAGGACCAAAATCCACTTTCTGTGCACCAAATGCTTTTTCTAACACTGACATTACCTTGTATCACTGTGCTGTGGGAGGGACTCAACAGGCTCCACCCACTACAGGCTGCCTGCAGAAAATTACAGGAGGGGGTGGAGACGAGACCAGTCACCCAGTAAAAGGAGAGAGCAGCAGTGACCGGTCTTTATTACTGGAAGAGGCGGAGACCAGACCAGTCACCCTGTACAAGGAGAGAGAGCAGTGACTGGTCTTTATTACAGGAGGGGGCGGAGACCAGACCAGTCACCCTGCACAAGGAGAGAGAGCAGTGACCAGCCCTTATTACAGGAGGGGGTGGAGACCAGACCAGTCACCCTGCACAAGGAGAGAGAGAGAGCAGTGACCGGCCTTTATTACAGGAGGGTGTGGAGACCAGACCAGTCACCCTGCACACGGAGAGAGAGCAGTGACCAGCCTTTATTACAGGAGAGGGGCAGAGACAAGACCAGTCACACTGCACACGGAGAGAGAGCAGTGACCGGTCTTTACTCCGCCCCCTCCTGTAATAAAGACCAGTCACCCTGCACAAGGAGAGAGAGCAGTGACCGGTCTTTATTACTCCAGGGTGCAGAGACCAGACCAGTCACCCTGCACAAGGAGAGAGCAGCAGTGACCGGTCTTTATTACAGGAGGGGGGCAGAGACCAGACCAGTCACCCTGCACAAGGAGAGAGAGAGAGCGCGCAGTGACCGGTCTTTATTACTGGAGGGGGCAGAGACCAGACCAGTCCCCCTGCACAAGGAGAGAGAGAGAGCAGTGACTGGTCTTTATTACAGGAGGGGGCAGAGACCAGACCAGTCACCCTGCACACGGAGAGAGAGCAGTGACCGGTCTTTATTACAGGAAGGGGCAGAGACAAGACCAGTCACCCTGCACACGGAGAGAGAGCAGTGACCGGTCTTTATTACAGGAGGGGGGCAGAGACCAGACCAGTCACCCTGCACAAGGAGAGAGAGTAGCAGCGACCGGTCTTTATTACAGGAAGCTCCAAGTCTCACACTGGATCTCACTGCACAGATCTGGAAGAAATACACAACGCTCACTGAGATGAAGATAAGAATACACACGGCTCTTGTATGAGGACAATATTTGCTTATTGCTTACTAAAATAATAAAACAAATGTTGTGGCCATGCTTGCATTCTAAAGTATCATCTAGTTCCTAAATGGAACAAAATAATACTTTTCTTGGCAAGACAAAGAGGAGAATTTATCAAAACTGCCACCGACAGAATCTGGAGCAGTTGTGCATGGCAACCAATCAGCTTCTCTCTTCAGTTTGATCAGTTAAGCTTTGAAAATGAAAGAGAGAAGCTGATTGGTTGCCATGCGCAGCTGCTCCAGATTCCGTCTGCTCCAGATTTGATGAATTCCCTTCAAATAATGTAATATAGAGAAGATGATACCCCGGCGCTGGCAGTATAAAGACCGGTCGCTGCTCTCTCTCTCCTTGTGCAGGGTGACAGGTCTTGTATATCTAAACTCAGAAGCCAAAATATAATATATTGAGGGGAATTTATCAAAACTGGAGCAGCTGTGCACGGCAACCAATCAGCTTCTTTTTCATTTTCAAATCCCAACTGAACAAACTGAAGAGAGAAGCTGGTTGGTTGCCATGGGCAACTGCTCTAGATTTTGTCTGCTGCAGTTTTGATAAATTCCTCCCATTGTGTTTTATATATACGGTATAATCGAGTCATTAGATGTGGTGATTGCATTAGCTTTTTACCTAGAATTCCTGCCAGTAATTCTCTTTCTTGTCCCAGGGTGACAACGCTCACTCACTGTCCTGCGTCTATGGAAATCGCTCAGAGTCTGAAGAACAAGTGTCAGACCAAAGTTATGAAAGGGTCCACCAAAAAAAAACAGCCAACACGTTTCAGCGACCTCCCCCTTCCTCAGGGCTTGAGATCATGCAATACATTTAAAGCAGAACTCTGGGGAAATGTTTTATTAACCCTTGCAGTGGGGTTCCCCCCCCCCTCCAGCACTGCAAGGGTTAAGTGCTAATTTTGACCTAGGGAGGGAAATAAAGTTATACTCACCTGGACCTGAGAGCTGGCCGGCTGTGACAGCGTTACCTGAATCCTGTCTATTCCTCCGCTGCAGCGATGGAATGTCCCTCAGTGTCCTCATGTCCTATACACTGTGTATAGAATGT